AGTACTGACATGAACAGCAGCATCAGCAAGTACCACGCGCTCTGGGCTTCCTGAAAGAAGCTGGACACGCAGAGTGATCCCAACCAGAAGAAGCTCTGCAATCAGGTAAAACAACCTGCATCCATAGGAACCAGATCACTGTATTGGATACAGTAGGTTTCTCTGGGAGGTTAGATTTAGTGCAAAGGGGCACTTTCTGGGGAAATGGAAATGTCATATTATCTTGAACAGCATGCTGACTGAGTTCATGGAATTAGAAAAAAGAACTTATTTTCCTAAAAACAAGGGCATGCAAACTATGACCCATGGACCAAATCTGGCCTGAGTGTCTCTCTTTAGCCTGTAAGCTTAGAATGTAAAAATCATTCTTTTTTAAAAGTTCAGAGAAAAAAGAAATCAAAAGAATACTATTTCATGACATACAAAAATAATATAAAATTCAAATTTCAGTGTCCATAAACCTCTAAAAAACAGCCACAGGGACTTCCCTGGTGATCCAGTGGCTAAGACTTGCGCTCCCAATGCAGGGGGCCTGGGTTCAATCCTTGGTTAGGGAAGTAGATCCCATACGCCACAACTGAGACACGGCACAGCTTGCTAGTTAGCTACCTAGCTAGCTACTTAAATAAATGAGTAAATGAGTAAACACCCACATCCAGTATCAGCCATGAAGCATTGCTCTCCCTGCTACTAAAAGCTCCAGACTGCTCTAAGGATGTCATAAATAATTTAATCTCACTAAATATTATTATTACTAAATAAATTTAGTAATGGGTATGCTTATCATTCCCATTTTACAGGTGAGGCAAGTAATACACAGAGAGATGATGGAACTTTCTTCTCTCTCCTTAGTTGCTAAGTTGTATCCGACTCTTGCAATGCCATGATTGTAGCTTGCCAGGCTCCTCTGTCCATGGGAATCTCCAGGCAACAATACTGGAGTGGGTTGCTATTTCCTTCTCCAGGGGATCTTCCCGACCTAGGAATCAAACCTGGGTCTCCGGCATTGCAGACAGATTCTTTACCAACTGAGCTATGAGGGAAGCCCTTTCTTAGCTCCACATAATAGCTAAGTCTTAGAACCAGGAAAGAAAGCGTTCATTTGTACAAAATCCTCTTTATTTAGGGCGGGATGAAAAGAAAGCCTCCGAGAATACTGAGCGCAAATTCACTCTAAATGCACGTGGATACCACTGGAGAGACAGAGTAACAATAACCTCGGGCAGTTCCTTTCAGTGGAAAAGGTAAAATTCATTGTGATGCTTCCTTGTCTGAGTGATCACTGCACACAGGTGTATTTAGTTTGCATAAATTCACTGAACTGCAGAGTAAGGAATCACTGAACTGCAGAATAAGGAATGTGCCTTTTCTGTGTGTATTACTACATACCATCATCAACAAGTTTTTAGAAGGCTGAAGCTTCATTTCAGACTAGTTAATTCAACTTCGTTCAACCAGATCTCAAACTTACCTCACCATTCAGAAATATTTTTGTTTCAGTATACTCATCTATTTTTTTTTTTTTTAACACAAACACTTTATGTTTTCTGAAATGCTGTGACATATCACAGGTGTGCTCTGACGAAGGCTAGAACCAACACTTGCCTCCCTGGACCAGCAAAGAACAGGACCAATGCTGCCCCACACTACCCCCCAGGACAGGGTGATGGTGAGCGCTGAGGGCAACAAGGGAAATGAAGGCCCCCCGCTCCTTCTGTCCTTCAGAGACTCGCAGTTTCCTTCACAGAACAGGACCAGTGCTGCCCCACACTACCCCCCAGGACAGGGTGATGGCGAGCGCTGAGGGCAACAAGGGAAGTGAAGGCCCCCCGCTCCTTCTGTCCTTCAGAGACTCGCAGTTTCCTTCACAGAACAGGACCACTGCTGCCCCACACTACCCCCCAGGACAGGGTGATGATGAGCGCTGAGGGCAACAAGGGAAATGAAGGCCCCCCGCTCCTTCTGTCCCTCAGAGACTCGCGGTTTCCTTCACAGAACAGGACCAGTGCTGCCCCACACTACCCCCCAGGACAGGGTGATGGCGAGCGCTGAGGGCAACAAGGGAAGTGAAGGCCCCCGCTCCTTCTGTCCCTCAGAGACTCGCAGTTTCCTTCACAGAACAGGACCAGTGCTGCCCCACACTACCCCCCAGGACAGGGTGATGGCGAGCGCTGAGGGCAACAAGGGAAGTGAAGGCCCCCGCTCCTTCTGTCCCTCAGAGACTCGCGGTTTCCTTCACAGAACAGGACCAGTGCTGCCCCACACTACCCCCCAGGACAGGGTGATGGCGAGCGCTGAGGGCAACAAGGGAAGTGAAGGCCCCCGCTCCTTCTGTCCCTCAGAGACTCGCGGTTTCCTTCAGCAGCAGCAAAGCCACCAAAGCAGTGCTGGCGAAAGGGAAAGCCCTCTGCTCTCGGTTACGCCACCTGAAATTTCGGGACACTTGACTAGGATCAACTCTTTGCTTGTTTTTTAAAATAAATTAACATCTGATTTCAAAAGAAATTGTTCAGGAGTAACTGACACTGCTGTCACGAGGAAGAAGCTAATGTTAAGAGGCCGGGCGCCAGGACATGGCTGTAAGAGACAGACAGAACCCATGAGGAGGCAGCTCCGCAAACTGTAAACAAGTACTTCTTGTGCTTGATCATCGCCAACACACCCGTGAAGACAAGGCCTAAGTATGTAATAGGAAATTTCAATACAGACTTCAACTGTGCACAGTAGACTAGGAAAGGCGTGAGCTGGACAGCTTGCCAGGCTGGAGGCATTGGGGCGTCACCTTCACGGCCTCACAGGCCTTTGTGCTGTGCTCGCCTCGCCCCTCAGGCCTCATCCATTCACTGGCTCCTTCCTGGTCTCCCATGCTCCCTACCCTGGGGACCACACCTCCAAACTTGTCACCCAGCCTACAAGGCCTACTGGGCTCCCACTCCTGCTGTGCTGTGGCCACTGGATTCCTTGAATGGCTGAGCATACAGAGACGAGTGGGGAAAGAAGGTGGCGGTGGGCCACGCAAGCCGCACACATACACAATGACATCAGCCAAGGCGACAAGAGCCCCCCAGCTGGGGTTGGGCCCTGTCTTCCCTCCAGTTGAGAGGTGTCTTAGATGATTTCCAAAGGCTACAGAATGGGGTTTAATCATGAAGTCTCATTTTAGATGGTGGCAATGAACCAAAATTTAATAGAGCCAAAATTCTGCAGCTCAAACCAATTACATTTCTGAACCACACGGGACCTTCTGCAATCCCTACGCTCTGCTCCAGGGCTTCAAGCCCCAGGAGCAACCCTCCCACCTGCACTTCATGAGTGGGTCTGTCCTTCCCGCGTTCACCCACTTATCGGGCTCTGCCTTGGGAAGCACCCATGTGAAGACTCAATTCCCTGGCTCTCTGCTCAAACACCTGCGTGCTCTGCAGACTTTAGAGCACTTGCTGTGTGGCCAGAGCACACACTCTGTGGTGGGACCCAGGACTGAGGGTCCTGAGAGTGTCTGTCCTACAAAGAGCGAGGTGAGGCAAATGGACCCCCTGGACACTGACGAGTCATAGGTGAAAGAAAACCACCCCTGGAATGAGCAGCCTGGAAATGCATTGTTTTGAGTCTTTTTGGGGGGCCTTGCAGCACAACATATGGGATCTTAGCTGCCTGACCAGGGATTGAACCTATGCTCACTGCAGTGGAAGTATGGAGTCTCAACCACTGGACCGCCAGGGAAGTCCTATATTTCTTTAATCTTAAACGGGCCTTTCTTTTGACTGAATGACAATACTTCAGAAATTTAAGTAAAAGCATAATTCACTAGGTGTACAAGCTTTTATGTCCAAGGCTATGTGAGATATGTTTATAACAGTTAAGAGTTAAGGCACAAATGTTCATCTACTAAATTGGAGTGTTTGACAATCCTATTTAGAGAAACAATAGTTATGATAACTAAATGGAAGATATGAAAAAGTGAAATTATATACACAGTATGACTACAACAGTGCTTAAAAAACAAAAACTCTCAAGCTCAAAAAGCAAACCCTTCCTCATCGGGTCTGAGTGATAAGGCATACATTTCCTTCTGCACTTTGTTCAGCATGACAGCCTGGACGCCCCTGGGGACGGACAGCACACTCACAGAGCAACCAGGAGACCACCCCCACCGTGTCAGGGCGGCTGAGCACCACGGTGGATGCAGGAGCAGGTCATCGCCCTCTCTCAAGTTATACCCACATGTTGACTCGGCCCTGACAGGCCCCTAAGAGTGAACTTACTACAACAGAAATATTTTACACACCGTTGTTTGTTAACTGTCTGAAAACTATAAACCGTAACGCCCCAAACTTCTGTTTGGACAGGGGGACCAGGACTGGGAACCCCATCCAGTCTCTGCTTCCCAGAAGTGTCCCACAGTTCAGTGCCATGGGGAACAGGATAAAAAGAATGGCTACTGAGCCCCTGGAAACAAGGGGCAAGGCCTGAGCAGAAGAGCATGTACTTGCCGACAGACACAAAATTCAGCTCCACGTTTCTGTGTGTCTCACATGTAAGGGAACATGTGTTCTTGGCGGCTAAGGTGTGAGAGGCCCAGAAGCTCCACCTCAGAATGATGCTACTGTTCACAGCAACAAGAGACACAGACCCAGGGGCACAACTACAGTTAGAATCTCCTTTTGTTAGGCACCATTTTACCAATACTGGAAATAAAGATGAGAAAGTAAGGCCTACACTGAGAGGAAAACACTGCGTGTTTCCACATGGAAAACACTCCATGTGACTGTGGCAGCTGGGGGACCTAAGAATAATGGCTACAGATTTGTGGGAGTGGAGAAAAAGACAATAAAATGAAAACTCAGCTGCAAAAGCAGCCAAAGGCAGGGCCCGGAACCACATGTGAATACACTGTACATCTTGGCTGATGATCTGCTCAGGTGTGCTCCAGGAGATATGAAACATCACCAGGACTAGTTAGTCCTTCCACTGCCAGAAGAGGTAGGACTGGGGTTACTCACGTGATGTCCCTTCGCTGATAGCAGCCCTGGAGCAGGCGGGCGATCAGGTCGCTGATGAACTCCACGTCATCTCTGTGGAGAGCTGCTTCTAACTCCTGAGGAGGCGGAGACAGGGGCGAGAGCTCAGACACAGAGGCAGACCCCCAACACACCGCCAGCGGCCCTCCCCCCACACCACCAGCGCACGGCACTGTCCTTTCTGGCTTGGTGCAGCTCTTTGGTTTTCTAGGCGTTTCCTCCCCTACTGCTCTTACCAAGCTCCATTTCTTTCATCTGCACAGGCAGACACCTCTTTTTATAAGTCAGTGCCATTGCTTCTCGGCCTTTTGGCTAAGATCAGGTATATAAGTCAATGTCAGCACAGTCACAAAAGAGCTTAACTTAGTAAACAGGCTATAATGCTTTCTATTTTAATGCAGGTGTATAAAGGAGCAGATATGTAAATTGATCAGAAAGCATTCATTTACTGAAGAGTTTCAACAAGTAAGCCAATTGCAACAGCTCTTCAGAACCATGCCACTTGGAATGTTCTGTGCGCATACAGCCTGTGAGGTGCTACCGGTGCGGGGCTGGGGGGTGAATTCCAGGGGACGGGCAGTGGGATTTAGGCAGAGACGGCACACGTAAGCTAAACAAGGGTTCACTGAGGAGCTACAGGAACAGAGGTGACAGCCGGCGTCTGGGGGATCCTATTCCTTTCCTTCTCAAGCTCCCACAGTGAACAGTCACCACTCCCAGGACACAGGCTCACGTCCGGTCCACCCGGAGGCTGTCCACCTGCTGTGCAAGCTGACTCCCCAGGGTCCACTCTGCCGGTGGTGTGGCCAGCTCATAACCAGATTCTGAGGGTCTTGTAAGTGGGTCCAAAAGCACCAAGGGCACCAAACACCAGCTTCGGACCTCCACACTGAGGAGCAGGCAGTGTACACAAGAGGAGGTCCATGTCTACTAGAATACAGGGAAGGTCTTTTGCTCAATATTTTAATTCTTCTGTTTTATTATTCTGTGTTCAAAAGCTCCTAAGTTTGTAAACACCCCGAAAACGTCACGTGACGCAAGCGTTACTAAGCACACTGACCAACAGAAACAAACAACTGAAACTGCCCTGAGACGGAAGGGGCTCTGGACTCCTCGAAAGCCAAGGCCTCAGTGTGAAAACACTGTGCCAGCCCTAGGGCAAGCGTGGCTGTGATGTGCACTCCTGTCATAGGGGTGCCTGCTCTTCTGGGCAGACACCAGGGATGCTGAGCCCGCTCTTCCAAGGAGAAGTGGGTGGGCCTGAAATATCTGCCATGTGAGTTCTGAGTAGAACTTTAACACTTATGAATACAAGTCCCACCCTGCCTCCCATGTCACCCACAGGATACCGAAACACACAAAACACAAAATTTCTTTGTAGACGTATTTCTACAATATTGTGCCTCAAATTCAGAAGCACCTAGAAAAAACAGACCAAATCAGACACGGTGACTTGGGAAAGATACTTTCCCTGGGGCCCTGTAGGACACAACCCGCAGAGTCATTGCTCCATCAGAGGCGGTGGCGCTGCCACTGGACCCAGCTGTCCTCCCTGCAGCGGCCACAGGTGACCAGGGTCCCTGCACAGCCTCCGCTCTCACGGCCCTGTGCCCAGTGAGACAGCAGAGCAGAAACAGGACAGCAATTTTAATCCCGCTGAACAAACAGAGGACTGGCTTATCAGTTAAAATTTTTTCACTTCAATGGATACAGAGTTTGAGATTTACAAGATCAAGTCGTTCTGGAACAGATTCATAACAACACAAATATACTTAACACTACTGGAGTATGTGCACTTACACTTAACATTACCAGACTGTGCCCTGACACATAACACTACTGGACTGTGTACGCTAACACGTAACACTACCAGACTGTGCCCTGACATGTAACACCACTGGACTGTGTGCACTTACACTTAACACTATTGGACTGTGCCCTGACACCTAACACTACTGGACTGTGTACACTAACACGTAACACTACTGGATGGTACCCTGACACCTAACACTACTAGACTGTGCCAGGGTCACGTACCACCACCAGACTGTTAACTTACATTTAACACTTCTGGACTGTGTACACTTACACTTAACACTACTGGACTGTGCTGCTGCTGCTAAGTCGCTTCAGTCGTGTCCAACTCTGTGTGACTCCATAGATGGCAGCCCACCAGGCTCCTCTGTCCCTGGGATTCTCCAGGCGAAACTACTGGAGTGGGTTGCCATTTCCTTCTTCAATTAGTGAAAGTGAAGTCGCTCAGTCATGTCCAACTCTTCGCAACCCCATGGACTGTAGCCCACCAGGCTCCTCCGTCCGTGGGATTTTCCAGGCAAGAGTACTGGGGTGGGGTGCCATTGCCTTCTCACTGGACTGTGCACTTACACATAACACTACTGGACTGAGTCCTTACAACTAACACTATAGACTGTACTTAAAAGTTACCACAGTAGAGTTTATGTATCTTTGACCACAATTTGGGGGGTCGGGGGGGAGAACTTGCTACATTACAAGTATCCCAGGCAGACGCTGTGGTGATTTAAATGAGGTGACACTTATAAAAGCCAGACCAGCCTGGTGCACAGTGAATGCTTCATAACATGTGAGCACTGCAGTTATCTCATTCTCAAGTGACAGTGTGTAGAAAAAAACAGACTGAAGAAAGTGGTCTTTTCAAAAATCAGATTTCTGAACAATAGAAATTTAAACTTTCTTTTAATACATGGCCTGTATGCATAATGTTTTTGTTGTTGTTGTTGTTTTGCATGATGCTTTTGAACTGTGGTGTTGGTGAAGACTCTTGAGAGTCCCTTGGACTGCAAGGAGATCCAAGCTGTCCATCCTAAAGGAAATCAGTCCTGAATATGCATTGGAAGGACTGATGTTGAAACTCCCAATACTTTGGCCACCTGATGCGAAGAACTGACTCACTGGAAAAGACCCTGATGCTGGGAAAGACTGAAGGCAGGAGGAGAATGAGACGACAGAGGATGAGATGGTTGGATGGCATTACTGACTTGATGGACATGAGTGTAAGCAAATTTCAGGAGCTGGTGATAGAGAAGCCTGGCATGCTGCAGTGCATGGCGTTGCAGTCAGACTTGACTGAGCAACTGAACTGAACTGACACATGAGCCAATAAAACTCCATCCAAATCCAGGTTATTCACAGCTACACCATTTCCACCTTCAGCCCAGAGCCCAGGCTAAGACAACCAGGGTTTTTAAACACTCTTCAAAAGCCCCGCCCCCACCACTCCTCCTCACTCCCCACCCCCTTTTGTATTCCCTTTTCACGGTGGGCACTGGGCTGTGAGCACAGAATCTGAACTCTGCCAAGAAGCTCTGGGAGGGGGTAGGGGGAGCAACCAGCAAATCACCGAAAAGGAACCAGGCAGAGCTCCTGAGCGCTACACTCGCCCTCCTTGCAGCTGGCATCACAGCTCATCAAGGATGAGCCTCTTCAGCCCTGGGACCTGGCGGTAGCTGCTGAGGAAAGGACCCCAGGGTGAGCTGGGGAGTAGTCGGGGAGTAGGGGCCTTGAGCCTGTGTCGTGGAAACTTTTCCCAAAACAGGGAGAACATCCTGGAGAGGCAGTCCAGGAACATCACTAACTCCTCCATGCCAGCACCGCTCAGCAATTGCTCTGCTCTCAAAGCTCACTGCAGGGCCTTCTAGCAGTGGACCCAATCCTGAGACCCTGAATCTTCTTTACTTGTGTGAAACAAGGTGGTAAAGAGAGAACAACTTTCTTTCCCTCAACTCCAAGGAAGAAGGGAGATGATGGACCTGCATACTCCAGGCACAAAGACCCCGCTGAGTTTCCCCAGGGAGGGCAGGGCCTGAGGAAACAGCCACCTTGGCTGCACTTAATGTAAAAGGCACAGATCTCCCTCACCTGCACAGGGACCAGCTGCAATGCAGCGGGGGTCGCGGTCAAAGGTGGGGGCTCCCACGCATGCCCAGGACTGCGCTCACACAAAGGAGGTGCAAAGCAGGCCCTCCGAGGCCCATCCCAGATGCTCTCTCAGAGAGGCTGCCTGGAGAGTGGGCCCAGGCTCCAGAAGGCACCCTTGGCACTTTGGCAGCTGATGCTTCTAACCTGGTATAAATCACCTTCCTCCCAAAGGCTGCTGAACCAGTTCACGCCGTATCGGCAGCTCTGCGCTGCACACACAACAGCCGTCACCAGTCATGATGTAGGGAGCAACTTTCCAGAAAGCAGACCACACAGCTCCCCTCAGGCTGAAAAATACTGATCAAAGCAATAAATGTATAAACCCACATGAATATGCTTGTCTATAAATTACCAAAACTGGCTCCAGATATTAAAAAAAGGGCCTGAAGTTACACACATCTTCTCCCACAGGCAAGCCCCAGAATACAGAAGTAACCGCTGAGCACTGAAGAGATGGGAGCGTCTCAACAGCCCAGGAGGCCGGTGCTGACGAGCCCGAGACCAGGGTCGGAATCTGGACTTCACACGGAGACTGTGCCCTTGGAACCCACGGCGTGTGGCTCATGTCACAGCTTCCTAGAGAGCTGGGTTTCCTCTGATGGTTTTGTTTTCATAATTGTAATCTGTGATCATTTGGAAAGGTATGCTACTTTTAACATAAACATGTGAATGAATTTCAAAAATAAAACTGGAGATGTCATCAGACAACTTATGTGTAAACTACTTCAGCCAGAAGCCCTAGACCCCTGGAGTTAAGCAGGCCCACTCCTTGCTCACCACTGGATTGGCTAGAAATTAATTCAGATGGAACCAGTGAAATCAGGGAAAGAAGCAACAATCAAGACTGGAAATTAATCTGGGCGTGGTGTGCAGGCCACAGCAACACAGGGCCAGGGTTAGCCAGTCCCATACCCAGCCCAAGGAAGACGCCAAGGACAATAGTGAGTCAGGGCAGAAGGGGTGAAAGGGGAGCTGCAGGAGCAGAGCCCATGAGATGCTGCAATTGTAGGCGGAAGGCAGAGAACAGGACGTCTCAGGGAACAATTTTTAATACTGTGCCCCAGCCCCGCAACAAGACAACGGATCTCTAACTGATGAAAAACTGACGGGGGGCGGGGAG